GGTTATCTAAGCTCAAAACAGCATGTAAGGGTCTATAGGTCCAAACATTTGAATTGGTCGAACACATGACTTGTACAGAGCACCAGATAGACTGGACTAATGACAAACGCTTAACTGGATATAGGGAGGAAGATTAGGAAGGCTATAGAAATCAACACAACAGAAAGTTAAGTGAAAACTAAGTGGGGCTTTTGGATAGAATTATAGAGATAGGTGGGAACGAGCGGTACCACCGAGCAAGAGGAGGAGGCTTAATTAGGTTCTAATCTGGTTTTTATTCTCATATCACACACATTTCAAGAGCAATGCATTCACACAACACGCGTGCAATGGAATGAAATCATATGCTGTAACATGGCGGGATCAAAAGTATCTGTTTTTAGGGGAGGATGCAACTGTTTGGTTACAGATGCATCCATTTCACGCTTCATCTACAGCCCCTTCACATGTCATCTACAGCCACATAAAGTCAGTCACCTTTCTAACCTTCGTGTTTTTGGTGAATTATCGTTAAGCATGGGGTCCTGCTCTGATGATGTCCGTCACATGACGGATGAAAGCTCAGCAAAGATTCATCAAGGTCGCAGGACGTTGTGCGGGGGACCTATTCGGACAAATCTATAACCATTGCTTTAAGGCAATCCCCTACATTTTCCTGTAAGGGCAACTTATAAATCACTCCACTCGCCTCTTTGAACGATATGAAAGGTAGTCAAACATCAATTTATTAGGGGATTCTTTGAAACTCAGTTTTTCTACATACCTAAATCTTCTGGTAACGGCAAACTTCGAATGGCTTTATCAGGTAATTTTAAACTAAATAAAACTCACCAATTTGAGCCCTAAACCTTAATAACTTTTTCCATTGCAAGCAACCTAAGGGTCTGGATATCTGCTACCACTTTGGGTTCTTTTCTTCCCTCCTTCACTTTGAATATAAAATTTAACAGACTTCTGATTTAAATTCCCAAATTCTGGCATTTTTTGTATTCTTTTTACTGAATACTCATAATTTCTTAAACAAGTTCTTAAGGTCTGAATGTAATTTAACATACAAGAATCTGCAATAAGTCAATGTCAAAGATAGGGCGAAATCTCCAACAAAATCCAGCCCAAATATACTACTACCTTTCATTTCTATCCTCAGGCTATTGGTCATATATTAAAGAACGGAAATAAGCTTAATATATAAAACCGAACTGTTGTTTTTAGCCATGTGCACTTTTAGATTATAGGAATAATTTAAGGCTACTAATTAATTATCATCGAATTATTGTTTTGCTAGCTGCCGAAGAAAATACATATTCGGTGCACAATGAAATCGATGCTCACAAGGACCCGAGCTCAGATCCGGGAGACGCCAAAGTGATAGTGGATCGAGGCTTGGAATGTCGCCTACAGACTGATGAACTTCTACTCTGTCCAGCGAGGCTTGAATCCGATCTGCTGGGATTCGATTCTCTTGACCACCTTGGAGCTGAAGTCTCAACAAAACTAGGAAATAAGGTTTCAGAATGCTTGATAAAATGCTTATAATTAATCATTTTTTGGAGATTAAGGGCACAGGTCAGCCTAGGTCGTTAAGGCGACGTAAGTACTGATAGTTGGCTTTCCAACGTGGAGGAAGGTAGGCCTCACAATACCTGACCTCCCAAAAGGTTTCTTCAGTATTGAAAATTTAAATATCAGTCCTTATATAACCTTAAACGACCAAGGTTGACTAGAGTTTTCGTTCAAAATCTACTGATATTTTTGAAACCTACTCATTCGGAATATTTTTATAGGTTATACATAAATTACATGTCCTTGGCTACTCAGTACTAGCATATATTCTTTTGTAAAAGTATGGCTTTCTTGTTTTTTTCATCAAGTTTACTAGAAAATGCAAGTTGGTTTTATCAAGAATAATCCCACCCTAAGTGTGAATTATGGAAATATGAGTAGTGTGCACCCTATTTCGTTTATGGTTGAATTTTTCTACTATTATAGGAGTTGCGCTGATTTCACATAGCCTTGCTTTCCTAAAAGTTGTGAAAGGGCAGATGTGCATTTTAATTCCAGGCATTTTTTTATATCACATTATCTGGTAGGAGTTCCCTGTTATCCAAGGACACTAGTGGCAATGTGGCTGAATGCTTAATGTGTGAATCTCACATGGTTTGACTCCCGCTGGGGGTGTTGATAAGACCTATGCAGGCTCGAAACTGTAGTCCAGCCTGGATTATAACAACTTTTTGGAAAACAAGGCTGTGTGAAATTCAAGGGAAACATCAGCTTTCCTCATACCATTGTGCGAAAATTATACTACCAGTCCTTCGTCACCTTAATCGAATTAGGGTGAATACATTTCATATTACTGATTTACTGGTAGTCTCGAAACTCTGCTTATTAACGAAAAATGAATTATGGAAAGCCTTACTTCCTTTAAAAGCCCTGGTCCTCCTAGCCAGCTTATGAGGTAGATTTGTAGTTAATGAAAAACGCTCTACTTAAAAGATATTAAGTAGATTAACAAGTTTATGTAAAAAGCAGATAAAAATTTTATATTAAAATACGATTTATAAATTGAATATAATGGCTTGCCTTGGGACCCAGTAGCACTTTTGGATGCCATATGAATATACATAAGTCTAAATATACTGACTCTCTTGTCTACCAGCTCTTTATTGAAGGACAGTCTAGCGACTCTTCAGTCGGCTGGCCGGGGTCTTTGCTGCCAGCCACATCTCCTCCGTATCCGGCAGACGTGGCCTCGGCACGGGTTCCAAGTTGCCCAGCCTCCCGGCCTTTATCGCCGAAAGGTCCTTTGGTGAAACCGAAGCCGTTGCGTCCGCCCTCGGAGGCGCGAACAACCACGAGCCCTGTTCACCCAAAACGAGGTCCCCTTCCACCAGTGCCCGGTAAACCGGACCCCCGTTCAACAAGGCCAGTTCTCTTCAGCCCCGTTCACTGCCAGGCCTCCCGCCTCGAAGAAGTTGGAATAAAACAGCCTGGTTCAGAAGAATCCACCTCCATCATCATGTCCGAGCCCGAACAGTCTTCTTCAACAATCGAATGTTTGGTCGGCACATCCCTGCCACCTACAGCTTCACACACGTCGAGCAGACAGACGCAGAAATGTGCCAAATTAATTAGCCCCTTAGGCTCCTTTGAAATGAGCTCTTCGTTATTCTCTCCAGAGGCAGAGAGTCTGGAGGCACCAGAGCCAGACCAAAGTGATGAATCTAAACATATGCGAAGCGATATTGTGTGAAATTGCTCACCCAGAGACTGGCTTTCTGGTGGCTTCTTCTAAAATATATACCAATCTGATGCGCTGGGTGTCAACCCGAAATATCGACACAAAGCACTTCG